CAGTGGACTTCGTTGGCAGCAGCTCTCCGTGAGCGAAACATTTGCAGCCTCATGAGCTTTCAAAGTTGCCTCCCAGGTTGCAGTTCTCGAATCGGCGTTGCAATCCTTTGTTCTACGCATCCGAGCCAGTCGTGCTTTCGCGTGCGGTTTATCTGAGGATCCCACTTCTTGACACCACCAACAAAGTTGGCGGATCAAGCGATAGACGGGCGGCAAATCAAAATGTCTTGCAAAATTTTATGGTCTCAATAGCCTGTGGTCAGTCAGATCACAAAATATCCTTTCGCCATAATTTCACTTCTTTTCGAGGCGATATTGAGGAAGCGGCCATTGTGCTCTGATAGCACTGAAAAAGCTCCGCCAATTACCGTGCATTGCACTAAGGACTCTCTCCAATCGAATTCAGAATACACTCGTCAATGAGGGTGGCAGGCCGACCAGATTTGTGGTTTTTTCTCAAGTATCTGGAACTCGGCAACCAAATAATTGGCATATTGTGAAAGATAGTCTGGAGGTCCATCACAACACGTAGGCCTCCTACTGCTTCGCTTCAATCGACGCATTTTGTGGGCTTATAAAGGCAGGAGCAGTCGAACATAACTTCAGTGAAAGACTATTTTCAAGCGAGAGGTGCGGGTTCTAGTCCCGCCTGGGGCGAAAGTTTTGTTCACAACCCAGCATTCTTGTGAAACATTCGCAAGGCGAACTGCGGCCAAAAACAGCAGTTAACAAACAAAAACAATTTTCAAGCTTCAAACGCTGCGAAATGCTACGACAGAAATGCTGTGGAGAGAGCATTAACCACCGCTCACATGCGTTTACAGAATGTTTCAAAACGATCCCAAAAGATTTTGCAAGATGAAGAAGAAAATGCGCAAGGACTTTTCCGACAACCTAATAAATTGGACGGTGAAAACTGCATTTCTTACTGAATAGTGCATTCGCCTTGTTATTTTCCACGGCCCCTTTCAGACTCATTTCTCCTGATTCTTAATTTTATCTTCAGAAAGCCGTAACTGACTCGGCCCATTCTGGGACGGGCCGTGTGCTTCACACCCTTCCATATTGCTGGACTCATTTCAGTGACAAAATATCTGTCAGCGAAAGCGTGCGAATTAAATATTCTTCATCCTTGTCGTGATAAATACTGAGTAGCCCAAAATTAATGAGCGGACTTCTTTGAATTACGAAAATTTTAGGTGGACTGAATAACCTTGTTGGAAATTCTCTGGCCAAGCTGCTTTGTGTCGATCACTCCTTAATGTTTGTCCTGCCAGTGATGATTCTGCAGCACAATCAACCTCCAACAGGGTCGGTCCTACGTTGCTACAAGTAGCAACGGGGGGTCGTACTTTGATGAGTTTTTAGAGGGGGGGTCGTATATTTTGATGAGGTTGTAGAGGGGGGGTCGTACTTGCTTCGATTGTGAGAAGTTGCATGAGGGGAGGTGAGGGAGGAGTGGCGCGGGAGAAAATTTGCCGTTTCACCCCCCTAGAAAATGAAGCGTGGGATTAAAGGTAAGGGGGGTAAATTGGTGGAAATTTAGGGAATTTTGGTAATTTTTACTGTTTCAGAGTGACTATATACCCCCCTCGACGGCATTTTTGGAGGAAAAAGTGGGCGGAGTTTGGTGGAGTGAGAAATAAATACTATAGCGAGGAATATGGTGGTCGAGGGTCGAAGGGGGTCGTACCAAATCCACCTTGGGGAGGGGGGTCGTAAAAATTTTTCGAAAAGTAGCAACGATAGGACCGACCCTGCTCCGCGACTTCT